AAATTTGCATGCTTATAGTCGAATCGTGCAGCTCGACGAGACGAATCCAACGAGCCCAATATCCTTTACTTCTAACATCATCAAAACACTTAAATGCTAAAAAATGATCTATTATTTAGGGAATCAATATAGGCCATCCGATGCATTGCGTTGGATTTTTCACATATTTACGGGACATACCACTCTCAAAAATTTATAAATAAACTCTCACTCCCTACATAAGAGGGACATTTAGCTAGAGATTAAAGAGAGCTTTGAGGCTTAAAGAATTCTGGAGCTTTACCTGAGAGCCATTGCCCGCGAGCCCTCGCTGATAGATTACCAATGTCTTACCTTCATCGCTCGATCATAGTGGTCTAACTGTCGCTATCCTCACCCGCTGACCATCACCAAACCTCTGCCCAACCATCTCTGCTAGACCCCTAACCAACTAACCGCTTCCTCGGAGTTCATCCAAGCCATCGTAGGCTTCACTGGTCGACATTCACTACTAGACCTCTGACAAATTGTCATTGTTCGGCCTTCGGCTAGCCACTCCCCTCCCCTTCGGACGTCTATTTGCTCGACTGCCTCCATCGTGCCTCAGCCCGACCCGTCGCTATCCTCACCATTTGACCGTTATCAGACCTTGCCCCAACCATCTTAGTCGGACCCCCAACCGACCAACAGCTTCCCCAAAGTTCATCCAGGATATCGTAGCCTTCACTGGCTGACCGTTACTGTCGGACCTCTGACCAATTGTCATTGTTAGGCCTTCGCCCAGCCACTGTAGCCCAACCTCTATCTGACCATCATTATTTTCTCCGGCTGACTGTTTTCGGACATCCACTGGGCCGCCATTATCAAACCTTCAATTGATGGACCGCCTCTGGACCTTCTTCGATCGATCATCGCTGCCTTCACCTTCCGACCGCTGCTGTTGAACAACCGTCGCCCCACCACCATCGTAAACCCTTTGTCGGTCGACTAATGCAATCAGACCTCCCTCGTCAAACCCATTGTCATTCAACCCTGAGCACCATCTCCAAGCTAAGGGACATATCGATATTTGTAACTTATTCATACATAGTAAAATCTCATCACCTGGGTAAAGCAAGGCCCCCATGTGAGCACCTAGGTAAGGCAAGGTCTACTCGACTGCCATACACCTGAGATTTTATGTGGAAAACTCGAAAACACCTGGGTAAGCTTTCTCTGTTTTGAGTTTTCCACATAAAAAATCTCAAGTGTTTTCAAGCTCTTTTATGAATCTATTTGTGTGTTGGACATTCGTCCACCATTAGGACGTAAAACTCTCTCACTCTAATGTTGCGAATCTACCAGCCCGCAAAAATATTTATAAAAGTTGATAAAAATGAAAAAATTACTATGTATTACTTTTAACTTTTTTATTTTAAATTTAATAAAATTATAAGATTAAATTAAATCACTTAGCTATTTGCTTGACTTGAAGTTGAAATATTTATACATTCATTTATATGCCTATTTTTTTAAATAAAAGGTGAGAGTTGATATTAGAAAATGCATTGAGTCATTAAATATGTGATTGTGCCAATATTAAATTAGTATTTTATTATAATCTTAGCTAGCTCCATGCAACCAACAAACATTTTTATGATCATGAATAACTAAGTGCTTCAATATTTAAGCTTTTATGTTCATATGCAGAGCTTTTAAAATTTTATTCAAATTTGCTCAATTATTTAAATAAAAAATATAACAAACTTCAAACGAATAAGTATTGAGTTGCTCATCAAACATACCAGTTGATTTACCCCCTAGTAATGGACGTACTTTAATTGATCTTGTAATGAGTGTCATATTAGTTGCATAAATCATTTGTGTCACTATGCCCATGATATTATATGAACCCTTTTAACCAACTATGCATTTGAAAGCTTGTTCTTCATTTTGGAATCCCTTTTTACTCTTGCAATTCTTGGTTGTGACAAAGGGCAAGTAAATTATATTTTGGTTTTGTGGACGAAGCATAATAATATTAAGCAATAATGATAGAGTATCAAGAGATGCTTGGTTGTAGTATGTTTAGTTGTCTGTGATTTTTTATAACAAAAATTGGGATGTGGACATTGACATTACTTGTAAGTCATGGCAGGCGTGTAAAATTCATTTTATAAAATAATAAAATAGGTGGAATTGTATGGTTTTAACTGATGGGCAACTAAGAACTCTGTAGCAATGAAATTAAATATGGCATAAATGAGAGTGTCATGACGGTTTGTTGTAAAATTAGAAGTATAAAAGGAAAAATAGTTAGGATTAGTTTGGTTCCTTGACTACTTGGGCGGCATGTTATTGGAAGAATTGGTTTCTATCTCTTTGTTTGCTGACTTCTTTAGCTTGCATATACTTAGATTTCAATTTAACCCAAGGGTTGCGTCCTATAGAAATTACAATGATAACTAATAGAACTAAAAAATGCAAGGCGTGAATTATTGTTTATCGTTCTAGATAGCACTATATTTTTTAGATACAACAGCGTCAAAGAAAAGATTCTTATATAAAATTTTGTATTTGGCTTTGAAATTGTAAATTATAGACTGCTTTCATAATCAAACCAAACCTTGTATAGGGAATGTGGGAAAAGCAACTACTAAAAATAAGGTTCTATGTAATAGATCGAAGTAATTTGGGTATGCATAATGCAAAGTGAAATATGCACCAATAGTTTAGTTATATAGTTAATAGTAAAGAATGGGAAGTAGAATGGACCAGCCAAAGATTAAATGGCTAGAAATTTGATAAAAATATTTAAAGTAAACTACAGATGACATCACATGCACCAATTTAACACGAATGAATGCTAGAAAGGCACCGTAAAGCCGACCCCAAATAGGTTGAAATAAGGCTAATGAAGATTATATTGATTCTTGGTATGTTTTGAACTAACCTTTTTCAAGCTACATGAAATTACATGTTTTAGAATAATTCCCTTCTGTAGATGGTGGACCAAAAATACAACTTTTAATGAAATTAAGGAAGCCATTTTCTAGCACAACATGATTACAGGTCTTGGCTTGAATTTGACCACTTACATTCTAAAATTTGCATCGAAGGTCCATTGTTAAATCGCATGACCCATTTGGCTGATAAACAACATGACCCAATTCATCTTATATACTGATGTGTTAACTCTGCTCTAAGATGAGCATTTGCAGAAATCAACAAAAACATGAACACAACACGGGATCCTAATTGAAATTTCTTGCTGAAAACAGCTAAAATATGGCTAAAGATGGAATTGTGGCATTGCCTCAAGAGATCATAATAGGAAGTTTATTAAACTTATTATGTATACTTGAAAACTGTTGAATATAAATTGGTGTCCTATTATGAACGGTTCAGTAAATTCTTAATATACACAAAATTATATGTTGATCATCTATGCTGGAAACAACTTTGTCTTGTCATAGATTTGTCTTCATTGAATTGGACTACATTTGGACATGCGCATAGTTCTAGGGACTTTTGCTTGACTTTATATGCGTGATAAGGTCATTTTTCAAGCTTGGGAACAATTTTGACCGAAAGACAAATTAAACTAAATTGGCTTACTCCAATCTCATTAAGTGGTCAGGCTTGGGCGATGGAACTCCATGGGGCCATATCTTAACTAAACTTTTAGGTACGCGTAAGTCAAGTTGGAGCAGTCTAACCAAATTAAATTTTGGGTATTGTCAGAAAGTCTAGTTTAATTATCAGGCTTGTTGAGCTTTGGCAAAAGTTTTGAGTCCTTCGATTATATTTAATCTATATCGTTAAAGGTGCGTTAGATTATCACATACTTTCCCAGGAGGCTGGGTGAAGCAATAACTTTCTGGCATACCTGCTATGCAAGTGCAATTACTAAGAGAGTTTCTTATTTTTATGGCACCATGGAATTACATTAGCACCTTCCCTGTATTGGAGATATGGGTATTAATATTGCATCGGTTATTTTTTTTATGATGATAATGACATGGTGTTTTAATATATATATATATATATATATATAAAGAAACAAGGATTCTCACTAGAAAATTATTTTGATCAATATATATGCACAAGAACTTCAAGTTGTAGAAGAATAATTTTAAGGTCGAGAAGATTTAGATTTCCAAGAAGAGGTTAAGTTGGTCGAATACATCCACAGAGAAAAGGATAAGGATGGATGATGATGAAGATGAAATAAATTGTAATAAAGACTAAATATCTTTGGATTATGCATGCTATAAATTGAAATAGGGTCCATTTCCCATTCGACACCATTTTTTTGTATTTTTTTTGTATATATATATATATTTTAATTTTAGTTAAAACATGTTTGGTAAATATTATTATTTTTTAAACTAGTTAATTTGTTTTGTGCCTAGCACCATAGGCTCCGGGCAAACTGATCACCTTGTGGCTGTTTAACCTGCCCGATACTTCTAATTGCCATTACAACTTCTTCTTATGGAAAGTTCATTGAAAATGATAATTACATAATAACTTGTAAAAAATAGTGCTGTTATTAATGGCTCATTGCAATGTTTTGACCACATGGTGCTTCTGCACCATCTGCAACCTGAACTTTTGTCTTCCCAAGTTGAACATCACAAGGAAATGCTCATCTTTTCTCTAGTATTTTTCACGAGCCAATGAATTTAAGGGTGAGTTATAACTGTATAAAGATTATTTGTTCATGCTGCACTCTTCTACTAATTACCTATTTTCTGGTAAATGTATCTTGTAAACTGGCTGAGAAGTCCCTCGACAGTATTTATCATAGATGAATTTTGTATGCTTTGCCCGAATTCAAAGCTCAAATTTTGTATGCTTTGTTCGTTTTAAAGTATGGGAAACTTTACAATTGACCTTCCTAAAATTTTATATGTTCAATTTATGCGTAGTTCTGTAACTTTTTCTCATCTTTTGTCTGTTCATTTTATTCTGCACCAGTTATATGAACTTAGTCTCTACTATAAATTGTTGTATAATTCAATTAATGATTTTCTCAGGAGGAAATTGAGATAGAAGCTAAGGTTCTAAGAATTGGAAAAGCTATCGGGGTAGCTAACATAGACCTACGGAAAAAAAAGAATGGGAAGCTATTTGCACAGGCGCGCTATACTAAGTACCTTGGTGTAACTAGCAATATATGATATGATCTCACCTTGCTGCTTGTCATAATATGCTTGAAAAACCGGGCCTAACCGAAGTTGCCCGCGCGGAGTCCGAGTGCGCCTGACCGTGCGTCGCTTCGCGAGTCGCAGTTGCGCGTCGCCTCTGCCCACTGCGCAGCTGCCTGCTTGCTCGCCTGAACTGCCCGCTCTCTCGCTGCGCCTCTGCCGCCGGCCCGTCGCGCCGCGACGCTGCTGCCTGCCCGCTTCACCGTGTACCGCTGCGAACCGCCGAACCCACTGCGTCCTACTGCGAAGTGCGAACACGCGCCGCTGCCCGCAATGGTAATGGGTCGTGTCGGGTTGACCCGAACCCGAAGCGGGTCGGGTTCGGGTACAGGAAATCAACCCGTTTGTAAAAACGAGTCGGGTTTGGGTTGACCTGATTGGTGCCGGGTCAGTTTTGGGTTTGACCCGAACCCGACCCGTGACCCAAAATTGACACCCCTAATTGCAAGATTAGCCCATTCAGAAATGTGAAATAAAAAGTTGTTTTAGAAAACAATAAAAAATAAGATTGAGCATAACCAGTTTCTATAGAGAGAAGCTCCTGTTTGTTTTCAAAATTTGAAATTCCCGATTTTTCATCCTCAATTCCTGGACGGTGTTGAGGGATGAAGGCGGATGGACGCCGGCCATCACTGCCTCTGGCAGCAAAGGCTGTATCCATTGGTGGTTGAAATTTGAATCAAGGCTTGGAAGGAAATGTTCGTCAAGTTGCTGGTCTAAAGCATCGAAATGATGACGAAGTGCATAAATCTTCAAGGAGTGCTCTGATTATTAAGGAAATTGTTGATGTTGGTCTGAAGGTCTTCAATGTATCAGGTAAAGGTAAAGCTATCTCTGAAGAAGTTGAATTTGTTACTACTCGTCAGAAAAAGATTCTATCGCCTGTGAAATCGACCGATCCCGGAGCTTCATCGTCAGGCATGAAAATTTTTGTTAATCGATTTGGGAATTCAAATGCAATCCCTGGTAACAATGTGATAAATGCGAATTCACCTATGTTGTTTAGCAAAAATTATCATGGCAAAGACGGAAGTTCTTATGAGGTTGATAATAATGATGATGTTATGCTGGAAAGTAACGAGGGAATGGTTACTAATGTGGAAAAAGATAGAGGTGCGAAGAATAATGTTGATGATGGTAAAAATAATGAAACAGTTGGATTGAAAGATGAGATTATTTCAGCTTGGTCTAAACCACAGAACATCAAATGCTCTAACAAGTTTGAACGATTGGAAATGTCAGATGATGGGGTAGCAATTAAACTGAATGTTGATTTGGAATACAAAAACTCACAAGTTCTGCATAATTCACTTGTAGTTAAAATTTTGTGACGGTGTTGAGGGATGAAGGCGGATAGACGCCGGCCATCACTGCCTCCGGCAGCAAAGGCTGTATCCATTGGTGGTTGAAATTTGAATCAAGGCTTGGAAGGAAATGTTCGTCAAGTTGCTGGTCTAAAGCATCGAAATGATGACGGAATGCATAAATCTTCAAGGAGGCAAACAATCCGTCATTCCCTATATGTAGCATGGAGTTGAGAAGGCAATGGAATAAATTCAAGAATTTCCATGTGACTACACTCGGTATGGGGTGGATTTTATGTTCTTTTAAGAACACTGAGGCAATGGAAGAAGTACTAAATGGCGGTACATGGTATGTTGGAGGGCACATTGTTGGGATGGACAAATGGTCTCCTTCATTTGATCCAAGTTCCATCAAAGGTATTACTGCACCGATTTGGATTCGGTTTCCGTGTTTGCCTTTATTTTGTTGGGATGAGGAGAATATTGCGAGAATAGCTTCTTATGTTGCAATACCATTATATTTGGATGGAAACTCTTTCAAATGGGGAAAAAGAGAGTATGCTCGGGTGTGTGTAAGGATTAACTTGGAGAATAGACTACCAAATGGTGTTTAAGTTGATGGAATCTTAGGTAGATTCTTTCAAAAGGTGGAGTATGAGAAGATTGATTTAATTTGCTACCATTGTGGCAAAGTTGGTCATGATAGACCAGTTTGTCCCAAAGATGCTACCATTCCAAAGAGAATCCAACCTATAAAGCAAATGAGTAAAATAGGAGGTGATGTCCAAGTTGCAAATGAAGTGAAGGAGTCTTATGTGGAAAAAAATAATTATGGCCCATGGATTCATGTAAAGTTCAAAAATAATAGATTCAGAAATGGGAGGATCAATGGTGGAGGTAAAACTTGGAGAAATGTTAAAGGTGTTAAAGTGGTTAATATCAAAGATGGTGAAGAGGGAGTACCAAAACAGATTAGTAAGGATAATGTGGATTTGGAAATGCTGTCTGAAATAGTAGCTGCTGAGACAATATCAGCCGAGACAATAAGTACAAATGTTTACGAAAATAATGGCAGTATTATGACAAGCAAGTTTAGTGTTTTGTTTGATGAGATTGACGATGGTGAAGTTGAGGTTCCAATGCATATGGAAATTATGAAGAATAATGAAGATGTCGTGTGCCATTCAGAATCTTAACCACTAGAAGGTAATGATGTTATACCAATTGTAATGAAAGAAGAAATTGATGCTCTTAACGATCAAGAACAAATTGGCAAAGGAACTGAGGTCTTTGGGACCTGTTGAACCTGAACATAGAAATAAAAGAGGAGAAGGAAGATGTAGTAGAAAAGGCGGGATGTCTCCCCTTTGGTTAGTTAAATGTCTTATCTTGTTTTTTGGAATTGTAGGGGGTTTAGGAAGAAAGAGGGCTCTTTATATCTTAAAGAAATTGTAAGGGACCATGATGTTTTTTTTTTATTGGTTTGACCGAGACTATGTTATCAAACATTGATAGAAGTGAAGTTAATAGTATCATTGAGATTGATTGGGATTTTTTCCATCATCCAGCTCAGGGTATAGCCGGTGGAAATTTGGTATTATGGAAAAAGAATATGGTGTCATTCAATGTGGTTGAGCATTCTACTCAAATGGTGTTTGGGGTTCTTACTACTCCTTTTAAGGGGATATGGAATATTGCAACGGTATATAGGAGCAAGCATTGTCATGAGAGAAGCTTGCTGTGGGATAAGCTTGAGAAGTGTATGGTGAAATAGCATTCCTTCCATGTGGTGGGGGGGGGGGTTCAATTGCATTTTATACAATGAAGATAAAAAAGGAGGTAAAAGGTTCATTTTTTCTGAAGGACCTAGAGAGATTAAGGCCTTCATGATTAATAATGATTTTCATGATGTTGGAATGGTTGGGCCAAGATTTACTTGGTGTAACAATAAGGAAGGAGCCACTAGAATTTAGGAAAGGCTATATAGGTGTTTGCTTAATTCTGTAGCCTTGCAGTTGATTCTATTAGCAAAAACCAGACATTTTGCGAGGATTGCGTCTGATTTGAAGACACTTGGCAATCTTATCCAGCAGCTTGGAATATTGTGGTAAATTATTGGGAAAAAGCTGATTTTGGTAATGAGGTTGATATCTTGCATAGAAAGCTTAGAAGAACTTTAAAGGCGCTTTTGTTTTGGAACAAGAATAAATGTAAGGATTTATGCTTGCTTAAAGACCAACTAAAGAAGTAAATAATGGAGCTAAAAATGGAGGAGGCCACGGATGAAGGTATCAGTTCAGAAAACTTAATGCTTCTACGAAGTAAAGTTCATGAGTTAAATATTACTTTCAGAAGATTATCTACTTGGTGGAATCAAAGGGCTAAGGTGAGATGGCATGATGATGGAGACACAAACTCTAGGTTCTTTCATAATTTTGCCTCGGCAAGAAGGAATGGGAATATTTAAGGTAAATTAAAGATGAAAACAATAATGTGCTAGATGAGTTTGAGCAAATTGAAGAAGTTCTTCTGAAATTCTTTAATAAGAAGTGGATATCCGGAGAATGCAAACTTAATGATTGGCCTTGGATATCTGAAAATCAGAAATTAAACCCTATGGATTTGGAAATGTTGAGGGCTGAGTTCACTGAAAAAGATTTTAAGAATGTTGTTTTTCAACAAGGAAACAATAAAGCACCGGGCATTGACGGTGTGACTTCTTTCTTCAACTTCTATTGGAGCATTGTTAAGGAAATTACTTGGAAAGATGTTAATGGGTTCTTTAAGACCGGAGTGATGAATAAGGAATGGAAAGACACTTTGATTGTGTTAATCCTAAGGTAAAGAACCCGATCTTGCCATCTAATTATAGGCCAATAAGTCTATGTCAAACCACATAAAAGATAGTTGCAACTATGATGGTCAATAGAATTAAATTATGCATATCAAACATTATTTCTGAAGAACAAATGACATTCATTCCTGGTAGATCCATGTCAGAACATTGTTTTTTGGCTCAAGAGATATTCAATAAATTTAGAACATCTAAAAACAAAAATGGCTTGATGGCAATCAAATTGGATATGGAGCAAGCTTATGATAGTATGGGATGGCCAACACTACAACAAGTTCTTATTTGGTATGGTTTTCTATCTAAGTTTTCTAATCTCATTATGGAATGTGTAAGGAAGGAAAGATTTTCTATTATATTGAATGGGATGAACACAAGATGGATAAATGCAAAAAGTGGTTTTCGTCAGGGGTGTCAATTATCACCTTATTTGTTTATCATATGTTCTCAACTCCTATCAAGTGCAATTAAACAAAGGGAACATGACTTGGGGGTTCAGGTGTCACCAAGAAGTCAGAAGATCACCCATCTTCTATATGCCGATGATGTGCTACTTTTTGCTCAAGCAAAAGTTCATCTAGCTGGAATAATGAAGATAATTGTTGCGGAATTTTGCGGATTCACTGGACTACGTGTTAATATCAACAAATCTCAAATTATATTTGGTAAGTTCGTCAAACGATCCGTTAAGCATAAACTTGCTAGAAGACTTGAGTATAAAGTGGTAAAGGAAATGAAGTACTTGGGAATTAAAATTATTATGAGAAGGTTGGGTATGCCTGATTTTCAAGATTTGTTGAATCAAGTATTGGATAAACTAACTGCTTGGGGAAGTAAGAATTTATCTATGGGG